GACACATATACATATACATATATACACATATACATATCCATACATACACATATACACAAACAACATTACCATCTCGTCGTTGGAGGGTGTGATTGAAGTTCCTGCCGGTGTTATTTGCCCACTCTCCAATGGACTTCTGCCGGGGATCAGGGGCGACACCAACCCCATGCCCACGGGGGGTGTGCCGGTGTGAGGTGTGCTTCCATTCCGACCACCACTGCTGCTTTGAGCTGCACTGGAAGTTATGCCCTTCCCACCGGAAAGGCTTAATTTGGCATTCAATGGCCCTTGTTTGGTACTGGAGGAGCCTACTGTGGAAGTGGCATCACGGACAATAGCGCTGGTATTGCTGTCTGTAGCTGACAGAGGCGGTTTGGCTGTGGTGGTGGCTGTTTTGGGGTCCAGTGTAGCATTGTCGATATCTGCAAGGGCGTGGAGGTACTTGTTGTTAGTTGTCACTGGATATTAATGATCGCCTATGAGACAGGCACGTACATCGTAACGTACTACACCACTTGCTGATGTGTCGTATACATAGCTCCAAGAATGTAGCGTCGAATGTACAGGTTCGTAACGATCTGCATAAATGGGGGTGCGTAGAAAAAAAAATAATATGTAGATAAAAATACCTACAGAGTCCCCTATATACACATTGAATAGCTGATAACCGAACAAACAGATACGGTACTTCAACATACATAAATATAGTCCCGAACCAGACCCGAACTTCAACCAACGTTAAAAGGTAGAGAGCACAGTACGACAACCACTGTACATCTGGTCATATCCCACTATACGTACGTATACATACACACATATATATACAAGTATACATATATATATATATATATATATATATATATATATATATAAATACATATATATGCATGTGTGTGTAACTATATAAGCATGTAATATCCTAGCAACCTACCCTGTGCCAGATCGTCGACGTCGTCTCTCCCTTTCTCAGCCTGTTTCATATGCTCCACTCCGTTGTCTGTGAGTCTCCCGTCGTGTGCATTGGTCCCACTCCCCGTACTTGTGGGCCTGTCCTGCCCTGTATTGGAGGTGATGCTATCTCTACTACCGTCCGTAATACTAAACCCATCTCTCTGCGAACTCGTGCCTGTCTCCTTCCCATCTGGTCCCTGCCCCTCAGTTGATACCTCGATGCCCCTGTTATCCCCACTGTGCGTGTGCGTGTGCGTGTGCGTGTGTGTGGCTGTGTGCGTGGATGGAGGTGTGGGTGTGGGTGTGTTTGTGTGTGTGTGTGTGTGTGTGGTGTTTATGTACTGTGCTATGTGGGGCGGCATCTCATCGGACGTTCGCCATTGATCTTGTACCGACGGTTGTGCATACGATGCAAATTCCGCGAGTGCTTCAAGCGATAGGCTGACAATCTGTTACCGTGAAAAACGTCAAAGGTACCTCTTTAAGCTCAAGGATCGAACACTTGTACATAAAACCCTGAAACCCTGAAACGGGGTCTACAGAGAGAGTACAGATAAAGGACTATCCCCGGCTACGTAGCATCGGACAATGGATATATTCTCATAACCAGCCTGATACGGAAGTACAATCAGACGATCATTTCAAGCTCAAATTACACTGACCAACTACTACATGCGAACAATTCGTCTGTGTGAGTGCCAGTCACAACCACATGATACGAGGCCAGTGCGCATGAGGTGGGACTACTGTGAGCCTATGGCAATGCCCCAAGAAACACGTGGGTATGCATCGGCCGATTTTAGGATGTCAGGGTTTTAAGGTTTTAGGGTCTTAGGGTATATAGGTCACCTGCGCGCATTCAGGTACGGCGATTAAAGTGTGAACATGTAGCTATGTACTCGAATAATTGTTCTATTGAGACATTTGAACTGTTACCAACGCAGCAGCAGCCGGTGTAAACCTACCTTCGTGTTCTTATCGGATAAGGATCGTAGTAGGGCCGGCATCAGAGTAGAGACTAACGCGAACAACTGTATATAGAGAACACCCGCAGGTACAAGAGAGAGGGGTAGGGGTACAGGACATTCAGCCCTCACAGGTTGAGTGAAGTGAGAAGTACTGGAGTTAACGGAAACTTGGAAGCACAGGAGATGAGGTATAGGGGGTGCGGTGTGTTGGGCAGGCAATACGTTTGGGTGTATAAGCCTATCAAGTATATCAAGTACGGGATTTTACGCCTGCAGGATGAATCAGCCGACTCACAGAGAGAGAAAGTTGTACGTAAATCAAGATACAAGCGATGAAAAGTGCTATTCTGCACATATGAATTCAGTAGATTTACCTACCATATTCGCGAAGACCTACCAGATCTCTTATCATACACACCAGATACAATATATTTACCTACCAGATCTCTATCATACACATCAGATACAATAGATTTACCTACCAGATCCACTAGAAAGATCTACTGAATAAATTTGATGCAGGAACAGATTCAATAGATATGCCTAACAAATTCACAAGACCGACGAAAGCTATTTGGCACACCACCAGATTTACAAGATTTACAACAGATCCACTAGATCAAATTGTACATTTCCAACCACAGTAGATCTACCAACCAGATCCACTAGATCTATGTGTACACTGCCAGCTACAATGGATCTACCTACCAGATCGACTAGATCAAATTGTACACTACCAGCTACAATAGATCTAATTACCAGATCCTCTAGATCTATGCGTACAATACCATCTACAATAAATCTAACTACCAGATCCTCTAGATCTATTTGTACACTACCAGCTACAATAGACCTACTTATCAATTCCATTGGAAAGTCCTACCGAATTTAATTGATACAGTACCATATCCATTAGATTTACTCAAGAGTCATAGAAAGTTCTACTACATTTGATTGGCGAAATACCCAAACCACCAGTTTTACCTACCAGATCCGGCATTTTGGCCTGTAACATCAAGACCCACCGCAGACTGGCGCGCCGCGTCTCAAGGGCTGTACTGAACATCTCAGTCTTAAGCACGTTGACAGACTTTACTAATTCGTTATCTGTATGGCAGTTTAGTTCTTGCATGTTTATTAAATGGGCAACTACAAGGACTGTAAGGTTCCTGTGAAGCCGGTAATGTGTGCGTATGTTTTATTAAGAGTTATATACACAGATAGATGTGGCAGTATACACGCACAAGAAAAACACACACAGACACAGACACAAATACAGACACACACACACACACACACACACACACACACATATATATATATATATATATACATTCGCATGCAAAGCCTCGCTTTCAGAATGGCTTTGGGCATGTTGGTGTCTTGTATCGACTGTTCATCTAAGATTAAAAGTGCGGTTTTGTCGCTTTAACAAACACCCATCGTGTGTACTTTAGACCACACCAACGCTTACCTACCTTCACGCGAACAGTACTCATGCACGTGCACATGTAAGCACATTCAAACATGTACATACACGCGTGCAAATCCACATGCACTGTGACAAACGGATTTGATACCCTTTCGTAAGTGGTTGGGACGATGCAGGTAGTACACAAACGCGTTTCGAGTACGACTTCTTCACAGATGACAGCCGGGGGATGCTTTCACCCATGCGCAGAGACAGACACACGCTTCCACTGCATAAAACACATGCATACGCTCACACGCATTCTACTTGCCTGTCCTGTCAGCAAGCACAGCATAGCTGACACTGGCAAGCACACACGTACTATACCTAGGGCAGTGTAAATAACTACACAGCACAGCTGACACTGACAAGCACACACGTACTATACCAAGGGCAGTGTAGGTAACTCATAGGCAC